CTGAGATATTTGAACTGAGTTACAAAGCATTAAGCCTTAGTCGGCTGACCTGGTGGTGTGTGTCACAAAGGCTGGGGAGGAGGAGTAGAAGCTGGGAAGACAGGTTGATGTTTCAAGCAGAAGGAAGTGCATGAACAGTCAAGAAGATAAGGATGAGACCTAAGAACTGTGAGTTGCTGGGTTGCAGAGGATAAGTCAGGGAGTAGGGAGAGCTGGGCAGGGGTGAAGGAGGAGGGCCAAGCGTTGCATGGCAAAGAATCTGTGCTGTGGACTAGGGGTATATGTGTGTGTTGGGGGGCGGGGAGGTAGTTACAATTTGGATGTGAAATGTACCCCAAAGGTCCATGTGTTAAAGGCTTGGTCTCCATCTCATGGTGTTAGCAAGATGGCTCCCTCCTGGTATGGAGGTGTCTGAACACAGATGAGGTCCTTAGAGGGATGGCTTTAGGAGAGGCCACACTGGAGAATTCCAACCCTTCTCCTCCTCCTCTGCCCCCAGAGTCTGCTTATTCAAACTCTTAAAAGCCAAATGGCATTTGATATTTTGATCATGTTAATCTACATCTTTGAGATGAGTCTTAAGATTCAGTCACGGGACAGTGTTGAAGTCTGGATTCAAGATGAATTTTCACAAGAGTTAACAGTCATCTGAGCTAGGAATTGTGGAGCCTGGTTACTTCTGAATATGAACTACCTCTGTATCCATAGGAAGACGACACAGCAGCAGTATGGCCAGCCCAGGAGAGGCCCAGCAGAAGCTAGTGAAGGCTCGGGTGGTAGCCTTGGAGTGTAGGGGAAATGAACGCAAATGGCATTGCCAAGCATGTCACTGGGACATGCAGTGTCCGGATGTGGGAAACAGGGAGACAGGCCAGCTGAGAAGCTTCCGATCATTGAGCAGGTGACCCAAGGCCTCCTGCTGTCTGTGAAGAACAGGCTAGCCCTGGCCCTTGATAAATGAGGGCAGTGAGGTATTACTGGATCATGGCGGGGGGCGGGGGGGGGGGCTGGGCAGAGCATTAGTCAAAGTATATCTGGACCTGCAAATGTTTCCCTCTGGTCTCTGAGCTCTGAGACCCCCAAGAGCTAGATGGACTCCCTTTTAAATCCTCTCCACCCAGAGACAGCAGCAAGAATAAAACTGAGCTCCTGGCTCAGGAGCTTTTCAATGAAAAGTTTATTAGAAGGGCACTTACAAGAGGAAGAGAAGGGGAGCGAGGACATGACTCTAACAATTGGGGTACAATACTTAAACAGGTGCTCTGCTTTTAAGATACAAAAGTTAGAAAAAAATCTAAACCACTATAAATACATACATGCTTTTTACAAAGATGGAAAGGTCAGCCTGGCTGAATTGTGAGTGTTATCAACATCCTCCATGTTTTCATTCCCAACACACACAGCAGCCCTGCGAGAGTGGCAATAAAGGCTTCTTGATAAAGATGGCCCTACCTCTTTGTGCACTGTTCACCTCTGGGCACAGGGGAGGGGGACCTTAGGTTCCCCTCAGAGCTGCCCATTCTCACATGCTGCCACTTGTTGACCTGGCCTAGTGTTTCTGGATGTCAAGCCAAAAAGCTATGCACCCTCCATCAGCATTCAGAACTGGCTGTACCCAACTTTTCCAGCCCTTGGGAGAAGACACCTTCCCAACTGTCTTTAAAAATTAAATAGTTATCTGCCTGAATGGTTTTAAGAAATTATCACATAAATATAAAAACACCAGAGTGCTAGAGTATACATCAGTATTTTTAAAAGATCAACTAACTACAGGATCACTGAGAATGTCAATCCAGTTTACATGAGAGGTGAACTTCTGTGTGGCAGCTGTTTCTAAAGAGGGGCCTGTGTGTCCCAGCATTGCCACCGCCTGGCACCTCTCATCACAAGACACTTCTCATCACTTCTGACCCACTTCCTCTATCATACATGTTCCTGCTTCTACCCACTTGGGAAGTGGCTGATGCTCCTCAAGAAGGGGCTGTCCATTGTGGAGACTTATTTGAAGGGGTCCAATCAATGAGGGAATACTAAGAAACAGCACAACTTTGCCATGATAAGGTTTTCTTCTAGTGAAGAGGAGACACATGGATAGTTCGGGAAAGCTCCCAGCTCTAGCCACTGTAAGAAGTGGGCTAGAGCAGAACTTGCGCTCCCTCTGGCTGCCCCCTTAGTAGGTACTCCATGAGCAGCCAGCAGATCCCTTCCTCAGCCTCTCACTTTAAGGACTACAGAGACAATCCTGAGCTTTAGGCTGGAGCTAACAGTGATATCAGAAACTTGCCTTTGCCCTAGACAGCTCACGTACATGCATGACATGCATATACCAGTGAAAGAAAAACTTGCTTTCTGTGGTTGGAGGGAAAGCATTTAGCTCTGGATTAGGTCCAAACTCTAGGAAGCCAGGGGAGATGGATACAAATAAACTAAGCACACAATGTGTGCAACAGCTCATTTCAAATACATTAATGATGATTCAAAAAAGTAATCATGGTCGATAAAAAAATACAAGTAGACACCGTCAGGACATTGGAGAAGCCTGCCAGCAGCCTCACCTGTGTTCTTTCTAAGGGTTGCAGTCCCTGCTCCCGACTCCAGGCTTGTCTGGAAATGTCAGGTCTTCTGCAGCCTGCCAGGAATGGGGCCAACTGAGGTGACATGCCAGCACAGGCCTGTAACTCACACTGGATGGGGCTGCTACCTGCATACACGTAGGAAGAATCTATGTTACTAAAATAAATTGGAAGGAAGGGGGCAGTGGAGGAGGAAACAAACTAAAAGTTGGCTCCTGGGGGGAGGGGTGTTGAAGACAGGCTCCCTGCCTGCTGGTGATACAGGTCAGTGTCAGCACAAGCTTCTGCTGGGGCAGGAGCCTGGAGGCAGGGACAACACACAGGGTTATGTTGCCTGAGTGAACAATGCTTAAAACTGCTGTCCAGTTGCCACACCTAGAGCTGCCCTGTTTTCCTCTTGCCCTGTTCAGCTGTCCTTGAAAAGGCTTTAAATGTATAAATGCCATTCATACAAGATTTAAAACTAAGAAAACTAGTTTTATGACTTAAGAAGGACCTGTTGTTACATGTGGCCACAAGACCTATGTTGTTTGTGCTCCATGATGGGAACGGAGCATGACCAAATTCATTTTCAGGGATGCAAAGGTGGACTTGCCTACAGTTTCCTCACATGTCCTCCTCTGGTGGTCTGCAAAGAAAGAGAGTCAAGGAAGTAGCCATTGGGAGTCCACTAAGGGGGGAATCCAATGTACCCTCAAACTTCATGCCTCCTAGAAGTAGCCATCAGATATGAGTATTGACAGTCCTAACACGTCATCTGAATGCAGTCACACCTGCTGGATCACCCAAATAGGGCTACACCTGAGGCCACTTCCCAAGCACCCAGGGACAATGGTGCCACGGGAACCCTTGTGGGACCCAATAAAAGGTGGAGAACACAGGCCTCCAGAAACTACTGCCCATAGATTTTAGGACAGGGACCACGTTTGTTCCAGAAGAAGCCACGGTGGAGTATTGCCTGGGGTCTCAGGGCTGACTGGGAGTGTGAATGCACAGAGGCCCGGAGGGCTTCCTGCGCTGATAAGCAATCCGCAGACCATTCTGAGCCAGCCACAAACTTCACCCGCTATGGTACATGGCCCTCTTGGAGGACCTGAGGGGTTCTGTGCCACCAGCCCTGCAGGAAGACTCACAAGTTAGGCAAGGTGCTCGTACCTCTTCCTGTGTCCTCAGGAGCAGCTGTCCTCATTGGAAACCTTACCACTAGAGCTAAAGGACACAGGTTCCTGCAGGTGAGGCACCAGGAAGCCCCCAACATCTTCATAAAGCAACAGAAATTTCATCACATTTGAAGTTTACAGCCTGCCCAAAGTACACACTTTCTTCCCTTCACCTGGAATAAGACAGGACTTCCATAGGAAATCCTTTTATTTTTCCTGGTATAAATCCATGCCAAGACGTGCGATAAGTCATTTCATACAAAAACAGCAGCAAAGAAGAAAGTAGCAATTGCAGGTGGCAGTCCCGTGTGCTGTATTCTGCAACAGGCCAGAAAGAGAAGAAGCCTTGTTCTTTTTTCCAGTTGAAATAATTTACACTACTTTTCTCCCAAAATTGCCACCGGGAGCAGTGCTCATTTCATAGTATCACTGCTGCAGTTGTCACTGATATTCCTCCGCCGGGAGCCAGATAATCTCACATCCCCGGATGAGATGACAGACCCTTTGCACCATGCCTGGAGTTTTCAAAGGTGTAAAAAAAGTTAATAGCCCTTTTCATTTGCCTGTGTTGGCCTGCGATCTTTCCCTTCTGGTGAATTTGCTTCTGTGAATTTCAACTTCCAAAGTGCTGGTAGGTGTCTCCTCAGCAGAACCTGGAAGAGCTTCACCGTGGGAACAGAAGCAGTTGCTGGGTCCCACTCCAGTTTCCCAGTCAAGGCGCCTATCCCGAGTTTTTTTTTTTTTTTTCTTTTTAAATATATAAAACATTTAAAAATAGCATAGGATACAGTTGATTTAATTAACACAACTGGCTACATAAACCAATATAGCCATATGCATGAAAATACGGTGTGAGCTTAGAGACAGCCTAACGCCATCCCTCCATTACTTCATGTCAACAGTTACTCTCATCCAAATCTCCTTGAGATCAGTGTGATAAACAATACACTGCAAATGTACTGAGCCTGAGCCTCGCAGGTCCTTCCAGCTTCTTTTTAAAGGAGAGATGGCTCTCACCAACCTTCCCCACCATCCTGTGTGCACTTTCTGCCCAACACCCTTGCTCTCACCCATCAGTGTGTCCTGAGGGGAGAGCACCAGACAAGCTCTCCCTGCCTGAGACACTAGGTGTATCCATGCTGCCAGGGTGGTGGAGCTAGCCTAGGAAAGCTCAGGTGAGGAGGCGTTGTCAGAAGTGCTGGAGAGCTAGAACACCCCTCCAACATAAGTCCCACACTCCAGTCTGGTACAAAGGGACTTTCACATTGCTGTCATTAAAAAGGCTGGGGGGAGGGGCAGGTGGTAAAACACTACCTGTTTGCTCAAACAAACAGAAACCATTTCTTGCCCTTCAAACTGGGCCGAGGACAAATATATTCGGTAAACACAGCTGTTCATAAAACCCATCTCTGGGCTTGCTTCTGTGTTTTGGAAAAACAGGTTGGAGCCACCTTGGTTGAGAGAGTTTTCTTCCTTGGCGAGAGTGGGTTGAGTAGAGTTCTGAGTTGCTCCATCTCCTCCATGGCCATTTTCCCCAAGCCAGCCCTCCCCCACCCTCCCCTTCACACCCAACATCTCTAAGACACACTGGAACAGCGGATACTGGGGGAGCCCATCTGGGTGAGGACCTTGTCAAGCCACTGCAAAGGCCCATTCAGGTGCAGCTCAATCCAGCAAGGAGTGCTGGTCACTGTCTGTCTCCTGCAAAAACAGACAAAAGGGTGGGGGACTTTAAAAATATCCAGAGGGACACACATACAAAGTCAGACAGAATACTGTTTTCTACTTTGGTGACTGTTATCTTCCCAAAGCCAGAGATACATCCAACCTTGTTAGGTGCTATTCCAGAGGAGATGCCACTTACTTGCTGGCACTACCAAGCCAAAGACCTCCAACCAGGAGGACTTTGAGCAAATGAGGGGCAGAAGGAGTGCCTTAAAAAGTTAAATGTACAAGGTCAAGTCCAGGGCCCCAGAGGCCCACCAGTCACTGTGACAGGTACCCAACAAAGGACCTCCAGCCTGAGCAAAGATCTCCCTGGCTCCCATCTGGGCCAATGGGCACCTGCAGTCCTCTCCAGCCTCACGCCAGCCCCCAGGCCAAGATGACGCGTGTCTGTCTGGTGAAGGGTGTTTTCACAAAAAGTGCCGACAAAGTCCACATGCCTTCGGTTCCCAACGTGCTGATATAATTCCCATCTACGGCTTATTTTGGAAAATCTTACGAGCAGAACTAGCCGTGGAACAATTACTGGAAAAAACCAAAGCACACCACACGTTTCTTTTCCCCAAAGCACTCTGTCTAAATTCAGGCTGGTTGGTGACGCAGCTTTCAGGCGAGTTCCCAAAGGCCTTCCCTGAGCAGAGGCTATCTGCTGTGGCCTGAGCCCTAGTGCCAGCTGGAGGTGAGAGGCCTGGGCCTGGGCCGCTTCTGGCCTCCTCCCAGAGCACAGCACACAGCATCAGGCTGGAACCTTACTCTTCTTGGCCCCCAGGCAGGAGGCGGGTAGGACTGTTCTGGGAAGGGGCCGCACCCGCCTGTTAGGCAGTTATGCTAAACTGCCAGGTGGCAGTGACGCAGTGGGTCATGCAGGACTGGGTATGCTGGCAGGGTTCCTTTATAGTAGTACAGTGCCCCAGAGAAGGGCTTCTGCCACCATGGAGCCTCTTTCCAGCACTTAGAGCAGGAGGGCTGTTGTGCCACTCTGTGTCCAGTGCTGCTGACCTGAGGGCCACCCTCCTTACTTGTCCTATGGTTGCCTGAGTAGGAGGGAGGCTCAAAAATGAGCCTCTGACTCAGACTGGGGTGTGTGCCTGAATATGCATCCCTCCCCGCTAGACTACAGCCTGAATGTAAGAAGGCAAATGGGCTCAGCCTGGCTTATTTCCATTAGGGGCCATCTTGAAATATTTCCCTTCTGCTCTAAAAACAGTGTTAATTTTCTAACCTTTCACTCTCGTTCCCTAACATCCAGGGCTGAGGTTGGCTGAGGCATCTCTCCAGCTGGACCTTTGGCCTAAGCTGGTCTCGTCAGGTCATACAACATGGCTAGGAGTTCTAAGTGTCACACTTGATTGCTCACTTGGCCACTCTTCCTGGTCTCCCCAAAGACTCCAGGGTGGTATCAAGATGCCATGTTCCCTGACACTGTGGGTCAGATTTGGAATAACAGCTAAAATACAGTAAATGGAGAAGGGTTTTATAGACCAAGGTCCTCTGACAAGAACCTGACTTTCCGTAAGTCAGGCTCATCGGGGTTTCATTATAAGTTATGGCCCTGAGCCAATACTGAAATGGGTTTGGCTGGGTGCAGAATGACTGCAAAACAAAACAGATTCCAAACATCTGGAAAAATGAAGAGAAGAAAAGGGGAACTTGCAAGGCGCTGGCTCTGGCCAATGTGTGGGTACCTTTGTGTCTGTCTACAATGGGGCTAGGGAGGGGGTGTGGAGAAGGAAGGGCACACAGGAAACTCCTGTCTGGGTGTGGGAAGAAAAGGGACTGAATTCTTGTCCAGAATGGTCTGAGGGACTCAACTGAGCAGACCAGGTAGACCTGTCAATGCCATGTTTAAATCAGTATGTGAAATTACAAAAAATTCTGTCTAAGTAAATTCTGTTCCTTTATAGCCAGCCACTCGAATCTCTCTCCTTCCTTGTCAGTTTTGGTATCCTAGATGCTCAGGGTCACCAGGGTCCTTGAATTGGAGATGGAGCCTTGAGGGATAAGGGAGGTGAGGTGAGACTTCCTGACGGGCCATCTGACCCCCCAAAAAAATGAGAAGGCAGCAGTCAGGAGAGCACCATTCTAGGCTCAGCTTTTCCACCAACAAAGTGACTTCAGACAAATCCCTTTCCCTCCCGAAGCCCAAAAGGGATGATGCCAATGCCCCACATAAGGCTGTGGGGAAGATGAAGATGAAGGGGGACACCAAGCGAACACCGTTTTGGTTTTCCTGGGCATCCAGAGCTGGCTGGGCTCCTTCCTGCCAGCCTGCCAGGCCTGGCCTCCCTTGCTCTAGGGCTTCTCCTCTACAGGATGATGTCTGGCCTCACTGATCTCTGAGGGGCTTCTGCTCTGTGGGCCAGAGCAGCCTGGACTGGGCCTGCTGCTGCAGGCAGCACATCACTGACCTGTACTCTGCTCCCCAGCCTTTGACGAAGCTCATGCGAATGGTGCACATTCGGGTTAGCTGGTAGACAGCCTCGAAGCCCTGGTTGACAGACTGAGCCAACAGGGCAGCAAACTCCTGGTTGTTGAAGATCTTCAGGTTGCAACCTGTGACAACACAAATGGCACTGGGAGGCTGGAGCCGGTCAAGCTGGCCCTGGATCACCTGACACATACTCCATGCTCAGTACCATGTGAAAGGATGGACCTACTTAGTCCCAGATTTAAATCTGTCACCACCTCACTGGGGAGATACAGCCCACGTGGGGGCGGAATAGAAGGCTGACCACAAGTCCCACCTCCTCCAGCTGTGGGAAGCCTGGAGGGGCTTGTGAGGTCACAGGAGGTGGTCTAAAGAATAGGCCTTGCCCTGGGCAGAGGGGCCAAGGCAGGGACCAGAGAGGCAGAATTCCTGAGTCTAAATGCCCATGCCATGTGGTATTGCAGCAGCTGGGGCCTCATGGTTCAAAGGAAGCCCCACAGAAGGTCAGAGGCATCACACACCCTAGCTCCTCTGTCTACCCTGCATCATGCTGGAGCCAAGAGGGAAAAGACAGAGCTGGGTCATATTTGGGTCTTTGGGCAACAAGCTTGGGTCAAGGTAACAGTCACAACAAAGTGAAGGGATGTGTCTTATTCTCCAGACAGGAAAACTAGAGGCAGGCATAAATGAAGTTTGAAATAAACCTTTCATCTGAAGTCCCCCTGGTGAGTGTCAGAGGTGTGCCAACCAGAAAAACAGAGTTATATGCAAGAAAACCAGTGAGCCCAGTGGCAGCTCCTCGTTGCTGTGGGACTTGGGCTAGTCATCTTTTCTTTGTCTGCTCTAAGACGAGGGTTGACCACATTGGTCATCCCAGTTCTGATACCCTCGATCTGACAAACACCCTCACTAAATGGTGATGGAGATGGAGGGTGGGTTTGGGGAAGGAGTGAACAGACTGTCAAGAATGTGACAGCCTTCTCTCATATTCTTCCAGGGGAAGTATAGTGGAGCAGGGCCCAAACCGGCCCCCCAGCAGAGCCAAGTTAGCCAGTCCTAGGCTCCAGGCTGCTATGGCCACTTACCTAGCTGTGTGGCCTTGGGCAAGTGGCTTAACTCCTCTGAATTTGTTCCCTTTACCTCCTTGATTTAGAGCCAGAGTAACTGGAGAGGACTAAATGAGATCAGAGATGAATATGTACTTTGTAAATGCAACCACAAAATGCTCAGGAGACGTGGAGCACCGCCATCATTTCAGATTGTCTGTGTTCTGCCCATGGTCTGCTATTCCACTATTATCTGCCACTCAGTGAGCAGGAGAAGATGTGCCACACTGGTACTGTGAGCAGTGGTTTGACCCTGGTCATGTGTTCTTCCCACCAACCACAGACCACACTCTGTGAGCTGCATGCCACATGACAAGTGGGTATTAGCTGGGCTTTCCTGCCTGAGGTAGGATTGGCCTCCAGCTTCACCTACTGTCCAGGCCCAGCCATGTTTCATCCACCTTTGGGTTTCAGCCGGATACACATTCTTGGATCCAGGTGGATTCATTAGCCTGATTGAGGAAACCCTCAACACTTCCCAAAGATAATAGCAAATCTTTCTTATATTCTTTCATAGCCTGGACCCACACTGCTTTTCCAGCCCAAGTACACGGGTGCTGTTCTGTATCCCCTCCGTGCCTTTGCTGTACAGTCCCCCTGTTCCAACAAGGAGAAAAGACAGAAAGATGGGCTCTCTTCAGAACCCAGGGCAGGAAGGGGCTTACCTGGTGGGATCTTGCAGACAGTGGCTGGGTGCCAGCCATAGCGCTGGTTACAGTTGGGAGACTGGACAAAAATAGCACTGTCGCTGAGGCACTCCGCGAAGACCTCCCCTCCAATGTAGTACAGCCGCACGCCTCTCCCTAGAGGGATTGGGGAAAGAGGGGATCAGGGCGTCGCTGCCCCACAGGGTCCAGGCCACTGGGGCTGCCATAGGAAGGCACAGCTGCAGCAGCCTCTACAAAGGCCCTGCCTTTGGGGCAGCCACTACAGCTGCCTCAAGCAAGCAGAACCCAGAACTCATCTTGAACCCCATGTAGGGTAATCTTGGGAGCACTAAGTTTCTAAAGCAGGGGAGACAGACGGGAGAGAAAGAACCTATGGCCACCAGTGTGGGCCTGTGCTTCTGTCTGGAGAATGGGGCTATTGCAACACACAGTGGCTGGCAAGTGATAGCTGCTACCACCCCTCCTGCCATGCTACAGCTCTGGGCCCTTCCCAGAGCTTCCAAGGTTCCAGGGTGCCTCCAGAAATCCTCAGGGCTCCTGGGGCAGCAAGCCTTTTCCTAACACAGTCCACAGATTTATAGAATTTACTTATCTTTCGTCTCTTAAACCCACTCCAGATGGACAGAAATTAATTTTAAATTGGCTCAGCAATTCCAGAGTTTATATAAACACTCAGTGAGCCCCACTCAGCCAGTGACAGCCCGTTCTGCTCAGAACATCTCTGTTTCACTCCTGCGGAGAGGCCCAGAGGGCCAGAAAACAGCCTTTCCAGGCCCAAAGTCATGTGGGTGGAAACCAGGTGACCAACCTATGCACTGCTTGATGTCCCCTTCTTTGCCCCCAATCTGTTCCTCCCTCCACCCTCCCCCAACTCTTATTTCTTCTCATTTGGGTCCTACAGGAGTTAGTACTGGGGACTCCACAAGGAAGGGCAAAAGCAGGAGGCAGAGGTGGAGATGGACAGGCCCAGACTCACAGAGCACACTGCCTGGGGCCCACGGCTCAAACTTTTCTTCTAACTGGAATCCTCTTCAGATGGACTAACTGGACTGTGAGAGCCCAGACAGCAGACCAACCAGAGTGACCTGTGGGCTCATTGGGTTTGATTCTCTTTGCTGCCCTGCCCAGCTCCTGAGTTTGCCCCGGAATCCCTCAGCCAACCCGTGGGCCTTCAGGATGTGTCAGGACATCCTACCACATCCTTGCTACAGACCTTCTAATTCCAACAGTCTGTCGGTCGTTCTGGATCCTAAACTCATGGCTGTTCTTAGCATAATGTTATAAACAAGCCAAGTGATGCACAGACAGCTTCATCTTCCCTAAACTCAAAGTAGCTTTAGCTTACATTCTGGGTGTTGGAATGCAGCGTGGTCAGAGCTGTGGTATTTAGGTAGTGGACTCCTCCTGTCTTTATACTTTTTCTAAATCATAAAATGAAAGAGCACTCCTCCAAGACTAACTACTTACTTAGCAACTTATCTGTACTTTAAGATTTTGTTTTTGTTTTTGTTTTTTGGTGGTACTATAGTTTGAACTCAGGGCCTCAAAGCAGTCCACATTGAGCCACATCTCCAGCTCTTTTTGCTTTAGTTTGAGATCAGGTCTTGCTTTTGCCCAGGCCAGCCTTGGACATCAATCCTCATATCTCTGCCTCCCAAGTAGCTGGGATTACAGGGGTGAACCACTGTGCCTGACCTTTAAGGTTATTTTTATTAAAAGGATTTGTTGTGTTATCTTAGACTTCCCTTCCTTGTCCCCTTAAATGCAGTATTTCCTATGTGGCTTCCTGGTTTTCAGACATTACCTCTATCTTTGGGGAGGTATCTTTGGAGTTTATGCAGCTCTACCTGTCGGGACCTAAACAGAGTAACAGAGAATATGGGAGATGAGGGAGTGAGTTCTTCCCAAATCCCAGCAGGAGACAGAGCACACTGGCAGAGGGTGCTGTGCAGAGGCTGCTGTGGCCGGGGTGGGGGCAGAAGTAGTGGAAAAGTGGCCGTCCATTACCAATGTGCCTCCGCGTGAGCTCCACTGCGGCATTCCTGTTGACATTAGACAGCAGGCCCAGGCAGAAGCGCTCGGAGTTGGAGGGATCAGTGAAACCGTCCACTGTCATGGATGGCTGTGAGGCATGGAATGTCTCCCCAACGCGCTGGTTCAGCTCATAATAGGAGATGGAGCACCAGAATGCCGGTTCGCAGTAGGTGACAGGCTGCAGGTCTGTGGAGACACAGAGTCTACCCAGTCAGTGGGTTCTGAGGAATGGCACAGAAGATAGTTGCCATCTCTCCAAGGGTGTTAGTGACCCTCTGCCCTGTGGCTTTCACTGCATACACCTTGTAGAGAGCAAGGACCCCAGTGTCTGGGGGTCTCCACCAGCCTTGCCTCTGAGGGTGCAGGCCTGAGCCAGAGTTCACCTCCTTTTGGCCCCCAGAGGCCCTGCCCTGCTGGGTCTGGCCTTCCCATGGACACAAGCAGTCTGCGAGGAGGAGATGGCTCAAACCTGAATTGAGTCAGCTTTATGGACAGACCCAGTGCACCTCTGCCGTGGGTGGGCCACACTACCTACAAGGTCACCTTCCAGCCTCTCTTCCCAGGTCCACAAAGAGCCCACGCTAATCTGTGCCCCAAAAAAGGGCTTTTCACTTTGGGTGCTCTTGGCCTGGTAAAGCTCGACCTGTGAGTAGCAGTTTGAAAGCCAGTGGATGAAAACGCCCGGCCTAGTGGCCTGCCAGAGGTGCCCTGTGTGTGTAAACCACAAGCACAAGGCATTGTGGCAGGCAAAGCCAGGCCATATCTTACCACTGACACTGTTTCCCGGGTTTACCTAAGTGCCATCTATTGCAGTGGCTAAGATTCAAACCCACAGACAAGAGCCTCAGGAGAGCGGGACTACTGACACAGAGGTGTCACCTCACGTTACCTCAGCTTTCAACTTCCATTTCCTATGATCCCTGAGCCCCTATCCCCACTTGCCAACTCTACAGCATGGCTTAGGCAGGCTGGGGTCTATGACCCCCTCAGTCACAATGCCATAGCCTCCTACAAAACAGCCAGCACCCCAGCACAGACTTCCAGCTGCTCCTCGGTGCTGCACAGGCCCAGGGTAGGCACGTCAAGCCCATCGTGCCGTGCCACTACCTGCTTAAAGCATCTGTTGAAGAATCAGCGAGTCTCCCACTGTGCCACCCTCCATATCAGCCTTCAGCCTGGGTCACTCACTGTGGTTCACTGGGAAATACACTTGTAGCCACCTGGTTGTTTAGAGTGCATTTGTGTGCAACCTGGTGTCTGTTGGTAAGTGTCACGACTATCCAACCTGACCACAAGGTCCCAGGACCTATCTCCGCCCACCCCTTTTCTTTACTTAGCCTTTCTCATGGTCTCTGGTGGGAGGGGGCTTGAAGGGCCAGGAACCCAGACCGCTGCATGCCAGGTAAGTTCTGGGAGCAAGGACCTACTGGAGCTCTCTGCTCAATAGCCCTTGAAAGGGTCAAGCCCAAGAACAGTCAGAAGCTGGCTACTCACAGAGTAGGCCTGGGTGTTCCCTGCCAACAGAGGCCCTGATAGCCTTCAGGAATCCAGGTGCACCATCCCTCATGGGGGTGAAGATCCCAGAAAGCCCTACACACAGCTTATATGGACGGGGCCAACTGGAGGTCAGGACACCCCAGTACTCCCAGCATATCGGTCTTGGGAGGGACAGGCTCTGTACATTGTAGGATATTAGCAGCAGCAGCCATGGCCTCCATCTACTAGATGCCAGCAGCATACATCCACCTTGCCCTCCCAAGTGGTGACAATAAAGCATGTCCCCAGACACACTGCCAGATGTGTTCCAGGGGTAGAAAGTGCCCTGGGTGAAAGCCACAGCCCTCAGTGTTGAGCTGGGTCACACAGCAAGGCAGTCACACCAGCAGCATCAGTCTCTGCATCACCTCGCCCCCGTACAGAGTCCTCACTGGCACTGTTGCCACGTGCCTGAGCTAGCTCACATAAGGTGTGGGACCCATGGCAAGCACTCAGAACGTAGTTGACAGTGAAGATAACCTTGATTCTACACACTTGAGAATGTGCCAGTCTTGTCTCAACCTCCACTTGTAAAGCATCCGTGCCTCTTTCCTCCCTTCCCAGGTTAGAACAAGAACAGAGGCTGCAGGAGGGATGAAAGCTACTGAACAGGGTGGGGGTTAGGGACGGGACAGGAGCAGCTGTGGTCTGTGCCCTGGCTCCTGAAGTGGGGCTGAGCCACGTCAGCCATGTCCGGCTCTGGCTTTGCTCGACGCTTCAACATTCCAATGAGATAAGCCATATTCTAAACAATGTGCTCACTAAATGTGAGCTATGTTGCTTTGGAAACTGTTAAAAAAGAAAAAAAAAAAATCCAAGTGCAACCCAAGCATTCAAAGTGGCTGGGCAACATATCAGGGGCTGCTAGCTGCTGCTGCCCAGGTATAGGCCTGCTGATCCTGTGTTGTGACCTTGGGGATGTGACCTCCCTCTCTGTGCTTCAAAGTTAGTCTGCACAGTGGCTAGTGCACTGGAAGACACCCAGCATGGCCCATCAAGGTCAGTATGCTTCTGGAATTGGTCAGCCTGAAGAGGCAGCTTTGGTGATCCAGGCTGGCCCTGGCTTACTCGGCATACATGAACAAAATCCTCAGCCCCACTTCATTCCCAAATCATAAAGCCCTGTCCAGAATCCCTTAGGCTTAGTCTAGGCAAAAGAGAGTGAGCAAAGCTCCCAGGAACACCGATATGCCACCAGTCCAGGCAAGAAAAGTAGGCAGGCCACCCACTGTTCCTATCACTTGATGCTGGAACCATGCACTAGGGAAGTGGGGGCTTCAAGAAGCCCTAGGCTCAGAGGCCTCCCAAGCAGATCTGAGCCCTTCTCCAAACAACCCTCTAGCCCGCCAATGTACCAGAAAGCCAGGAGTGAAGTTGGGCACCTCATTAGCAAGATGCTGTCTCGGGGGTGCAGTGTCACCAGGTCACTACGTAGACCAGCTGCCCTGGCTCAGAAGCAGGACTGATATGGGCAGCCCCGTCAGTCCTTTTCTACCCTCTGCAAACAGCTGAACAAAAGCCTTGCCTTCAACCGCCCTCCCTCACATCAGTCCCAGCTGCTTCCTCTAGGCATTTCTGCAAGGCCAGATGCAGACCAAAAAGAGTAGTCACCACCTTGGGGTTCTTTCTTTCATGGCACTTGTGGTATTGGAAACTGAGCCCAGGGCCTTAGGCATACAAGCCAAGTGCTCTAACACTTGTGCCATACTTTCAGCCCTTTTTTTTTTTTTTGAGACAGGGTCTCCTGTTACCTTTGCTAGGGCTGACTTCAAACTCAATCCTGCCCCCATCTCCCAAAGAGCTGGGATTACAGCTTTTTGTAAGCACCATAACACCTGACTTCATTTTTTTTCCCCCACCAAAGGTGTAATCCACAGTACAGTTAGTATAAGAGAAACAGGACTCTGGAAAGAAAAAGGCTATATCTGGGATACTCACATGGATATATATACTAAAAGCATTCAATTTGGCTGAGTGTCCTAGCAGACAAAGCAAAAAGGGAGCATAGTATGCTACATAGATCTAGTTAGTGGATGTTCAATGCCAAGGAGTCCCACAGGGAATACAAAGCTGGTGTCAGCACTCTCTTGGGGAGGTGGCAATCCCTGGTTTCAAGATTTTACCAGCAAATACAGAAGCAATTGTGCTTGAGGAAGACATTCCACCTCTGGGGTGATGTGCCCCAAAGGAGAGCAGCTTGCTTCTCCAGACTGGGGACTCTGAACACCTGGTGGGATGGGGTGGTGGTGGTGGAATAGACAATGTCACATGTCAAGGCCCTGCCCTCACAGCCCTGTTCCCACCAGACTGCAGAGCTGGTGCTACTCTCTGCACATCAGAGGTGTCCAGAGACACAGCAACCTCCAGCTGCAGTCATCCTGGCCCCACCCCCATCCGTGTGGTGTAGGCCAGGCTTCTCGAGTGGCATTCTTGGCTGGCCCCCTGCCAACCTAACGCATTGGCTGGCTACAACTTTTTAGAGTGCTGTTCCAAGCTGGCACAGGCTTTCTGTTTTGTTTAAGGAAAGGAAAACAGAATAAAACCCAGAAGGCAGTGCTTGGACTCAGAGACGCCTATTAAAAACATGTGCAAAAGATTCAAATCCGACAAAGGCGGCAGGCGAGGGGGATATTCACTTTCTACTGTAATTGAAAGCAGGGAATGGACAAAGGCCCAGAGCAGCAGCACTGCGGGGCTCAAGGTCAACACAGAAAGGGACTGGCTATATCTGGGCCCTCTTCGTCTGCCGAAACCAGCACAGCCTCCACCTGGGAGATTCCACGTTCCTGTTCCCATGTTTCTTGCAGGGCTATCATCTTTACTCTGGATGTCCCCCCTGCCTGGGTACCCTTCCCCACCCACAAGGCCCTGACCTGTAAGGTCAGCACGTGGTGACAGGGAGACACACCCCCACCCTTCTGTGCACAACCTCCTCATGCCAGCCACCTGTGCTGAGGAGTTAGGGCTCTGCAGGCCCAGGCCTGCTGGGTCCCCAGTGTTGGCTCTGATTCCAAACTGAGGATTAAAGCAACATGCTGAAGTGTGCACAGAAGAACCCTGTGCCCTTTACAGCTCTGAACAGTTTACTGTGACCAAGAACGGTGGCAGTCAGAAGTCAGATCCTTGGGAGGGTAAAGGTGCAACAGGCAGGTGATTTCCTATCATGTCACCTCCTTGTGATTTCACAAGCTACCAAAGACTGGGGCCACAGATAGTACAGACACACCTGCCACCTGGTTAGGCCTGTGACCTCTCTCCATGGCCGGTGGCCTCCCACCTTCTGGCTGCCCTGCCCCTCTCCTGGCAGACAGGAAGGCTCTTCCTGCCCAGTGCACTCTGGGAAACCACCAGCTCAGGCACTGCCCTCAGGTGCTCTGGAACTTCATTTCCTCAGCCAAGCCGCTCCCTTTGTGTCTCACTTGAAATCAGGGAACAAATTACTCCCCCGGCAGAAGCCAGAATGTTACCTTTTTCCTCTCTCCAACCTGGTACCTCCTATCCCTTCGTTTGTCCCAGTCTTCTGACTTACACACTTGGGAGGTTCCAGGTGACTCACCCTGCACCATGTATAAAAACATAGACATCACCTGCTCCTGTCCCTGCTGCAAAACAAAGATCCCAGGGACTCCGGAGAGCCTGCCTTGGGCCACATACCAACTAGGCTTCAAACGTGCCTCTGGGGCTCTGTGGGTACCAAAAGTGATTTCACTGTGCCAGGAAACTCAGCCTTCGCAGACCTGAGCCCAAGACCCACACAGGAAGGAGGAGAAAATTAAAGCAGAAACCGGATGTCCTGCACTTCCTTTTGTGTAATAATAACTGCCTTAAAAGCCACACTCAGCAATCCTGAGTTGGTTGTGCCTTTTTTTCTAGGAAGAGCTTAGCACCTAACTGTCTCCGTCCTATGGCTTGCTAGTCACCAAGAAGTACAAAGGCTACCGCCTTTCATTGCCTGACTTCCCCGTCTTGGATTCACCCTCCAGCCCGCTGCTGCTGTCTCCAGTTCTACCTCTTCCCATTAACTGCTCTGAGAAGGCTGCCCTTGAACTCCTGACACACAGAGACCTCTTCTCATGCTGCACTTTGTTCACCTGCTGTCACTGTCTCTTATGGCCTTCCTCCTCCTCCTGTCCTTGCCCCTTACCAGCCCCTTCTTCCCCAGTGGGGAGGAGCGGTCTCTGTCCCTCTCCTTCAGCTGGACCTCTCTCTCCACCAAATTCATGCCCTGCCAGGACTCCAGCCAAACCTTCATCAGTTTCCCAAGTGGGAACTCTGGCATGGTTGGTGGGGTGAGAGAGCGAAGAAGTACCCAAGAGTGGTCAGTTCAGGGAGGGGCAGGGGAACAGGTAGGCCTCCTTTCTGCCACGGCAGCCCCCGGGGATCCAGGAGGGGCTGCAGGCCAAGCTTCCCAATGCATTCAGTCACAGAACCCTCACTCAGACTGTGCTGAAGGTCAGTGGTTTCCAACTCTTCACCTCCAGCCCTGGCCTCTTCCTGACTTCTCAGCTGTTGCAAGATGTCATGCACTGGTCGCTCATCACCACCTTTGTCCCAGACTCATCCCACCTCTTGCCTCAGTCAGGAGGCTTCCCAGTTGTCCCCCTTGAAGCTGGCCAATAAATTCTGCACATTCAGACTCACGACCATCTCTCAAACACCCTCGCCCCGCCCTGTTGCCATTTCTATAATGCATTCACGATGAGTGAGGGAGGCAGGTAAACTGGCAGGATCCAATCAGGGACCTAACCTGACATATGCCCCCAACTAAAAGTTATTACCGCCCAGCATCTTGCTCTTTTGAGCAAAGCAGAGGGGACACCTGATCTAAATGGGCCACACAGCACTGCCCTGCTGTGACAGTGGCACATGCTACAGCCCTGTTAGCAGCTGTGTGACCTGGGACAAGTGAGTTCACACATCTGTCCTTTGGTTTCCAAATCCGTACAGTGAAAAATGACAGTGCTTCTCTCTCATAAAGCAGGTCTGAAGACACACTCACAAAGCATGTGAGCAGCAGTAGTGGCAAGTTCTCAGGAAACTTTTGCCACTGTCACTACCTTCGTCTCCTCCCCCTCCAACCATCTCACCAGGAACTGGGAGATCTGTCTGATTTCAAATGGCGAATGGGGTGAGAGGGCTCAGCAAGCAGACAGGAAGCAGGCCTGCCAGCACTGGTGTCTTGCCCTGAGTCCTGACCCTCACTTGTCCCCACTCAGACCTTCCTGGCAGAGGTACAGGCAGACAGTGCTAGTGGCTCCCACTCTGCTGGTCTCTATAAGAAATGGGCTAAGAATTGTGCATTCCTGGCCCAGCAGTGCGAGGAAGGGCAGCAGAGAGACAGAACTGCATTGGTGGGGACTCTGTTCCCAAAATCATCCCATCTTTCTAAACCCCATAATCTAGAGGGCGGGTCCAAGCAAGCTGCCAGCTGGGACAACTTTTAGGTTGCCTCCAAGCTGGCCTGTGACCCCTACAGTTTCAAAGACAAGTAGCTGCCCCAAAGTCTGTCAACTAAACCGGTCAGAAAACAAATCTTAACCAGCACATCTCAAAAGCTGAAGCCTAGAGTCATGTTCACAACTGTGGCTTTTAATGTCTCCAGTGTTACCACAGCTTCTAACCTTCAGAGTTTGTTTTCAATAACTTAGTCCTTCCGTATCAGGAGTGTGACACTTGCTACAGCCCAGCACTCACAGTGACAATATTCTACAAAGATGTTAAGTCAGATCCCCACAGTCATGAGTCACTCTGCCCACTTACTGCCTCTTCAAAGGGTTTTTGTGCGTGCCCCAATATTCCAAATGATGAGTTTTATCTGAGGCTGTCAGTCAAGGTGTAAAACAAATCAGCACAAAGGCTGGCCCTACACCTGTGTGCCCCCAGCTGGACCTTAACAACTACTTCTCCAGAGCCACAAAGCAAGGGCCAGTAGTGAAGCCCGAACAGAGCTGAATACCAGCCTAGAATACCAAAACCTCCCCTCATCTGTTTTCAGCCTTTCACTGAACAGGTTCCAACCACATTCTCCATGCAGTCTCTCCTACTTCAGAGTGCTAAAGGACGCTCCTGGCCTGGCACAGTGACTCCCAGGGAGCCCTGCCCTAGCAGCCCAGTGCTGAGGGCTGTTTGGAAACAATGGCCAGCTCCTTATGATAACACAACATGAAAAAGGAGGTATCTAAATATGGAACCCTACTTATAAAATAACATAAAGAGAAAAAAGATTAGAAAAACAGACACACAGTGCTCTCAATGAAAGGCTCAGATATCCATGAAGGATCCCCACACAGAGGGATGATAGCTGCGTCAGCTGATTCCCCCCCAAGTTCCTGACATGTTACTGCTTTAAACACAGGTCCACTGTTGTAAGATAAAATACTCAAATCCAAATAGGTGCATCTGAAACGAGTCTATAAAAGCCGGGGGCTGGAGTCTGTGCAGCTGCCTGTGGCTTTGGGCCAAACCACACCGTGTACTTCACTGACCACAGCCCCTCTATGTCCTAGGCCTGAGGTCTGGGGGACTTTCATTCACTCACGTCTGACCGCCAACCAGGGGAAACACAAATCCACCAGCCAGTGCCCTTTCTGCCACACTACTCTCGGGTTTCCCTGTTCTGAGGTGACCCCAGTACCACTGTAACCGGAACCCGATGGGCTGGCTAGGCTGATGCCGGGGCAGGTCCCCCTCCCACGCGGGCCCCCAGCAGTCTGCAGCTAGGAGAGGTTCAGGGCACGCCGGTAAGGAGCTACTCACCCAAGTTATTGTGTGCTGGGGACATCGGATTCGGGGATAGGTTTGGAGAACCTGTGGGGTGAGAGACAGTTGTGAGACTTCTTAAAAGATCCTGAGGGGAGGGGGAAGGGGAAAGCTGAATTACTGAACACTTCATCAAGACGGGTGCCTTTTCATCACAGTGGCAGGAAAAAACCCTGGACTGAGGCCAGAGTCCCAGGAGAAGCCCAACCTCCTGCCCTGTCCTCACCATCCTTCCCTGGGCCCTTTCCCCCTCTGGAATGGATGGGGACCTCAGAGGTCTCCTCTACCACCTGAGGGCTTAGGCAGACCTCTCAACTAGGCCAGGTAGCACCTGTCTCCAGTCCATTCACAACTGCCCTCAGGAAAGGCTAACTGTGCCCCAGGCAGCAGGAGGACTGTGCCCCACACAGGTGGGCTAACACTTCCCAGCTGTCCCCAGCCCTGTCTGCAGTTGCAGCAGCTCCAGTACCTAGAAATACCAAGCTCAGGAAACTCCCAGGCCTGCCTCAGAAATCCTGCAACTCAGCAACTAGACTACAACTAGGCTTCGTGCACGGCAGGATGGGGTGCACGGGAAAACGTCCAATTCTACCCAATTCATGCTGTGTGATCTTCTCTTTGCCCCTCACCCCCAGGAAAAAGGAAAAACACACAGCATCAGCCTTCAAAGAAAGTGAGCACTGTTCTGTTCCACAGAGCAACATCCTGCTTGTCCTGCTCTGTTCCTGTGTGGTTCCGGCTGCAGAGTGTCTTATTTACGAGCAGCCTGTGGGGCCTGACTCCACCCCAACACCCACCAGTCCTTGAGTCTAGGCCTGCACCCAGCCTCAGGCAGTGCTGCCTTCAGCTGTCCCCAGGGGTCTATTATTTCAACCAGCAGAGCTGGAACCTCCGTGTGAGCAAGGGATGAGCCATGGGTTTCTTCTCTGTGGCCTAATCCAATGGGGACGGGGCCAGAATCGGTGGTGCGTTCAGACCACATGTCAGCTATGTGGCTTTGGCAAAAGTCCTCTAACCATTCTGAGTCTTAAATTTTTCCCAGGTACAAAATGGGGATAATATCTACTGTGTGACCTGTAAAACTTAAGTGAGATTATGCACAAAAAAATGCTGGTGCACACCTGTGATCCCAGTAACTCAGCAGGCAGAGGGAGACAATTGAGGGCCAGGGTCAGCCTGGGCAAAAGTGGGAGATCCTCTCTGAAAAGGAAACTAAGCAAAAAAGGACAGAGGCATAGCTCAAGAGTAGAGCGTTTGTCTAGTCAAGTGCAAGGCCCCGAGTTCAATCTCCACTACTACCAAAAAACTATATATGTATTAATGCATGACATTAATCGTTACAGTAGGCACTCAAGCATTTTGTTTCCTGTTTTGTGGTGGCTGGAGTCATGAAGACCTAGGAAGGCTGTGGAACCTTCTCACTGGTCTGAAAGGCCAGTGAGGGGAGATCCAAAGGTGACCAAAGTGATTCACTAGCTGGAGACACTTCTGCACTTCACCTGGCAAGGAAGCCAAGCCCATGAGCAACCAGTCTGGGATCAGAATGGGTAACTTTGAGGAAGAACAGAGAGTAGAGACCATTGGCCACCCATGTACAGACTAGCTGAAGGAAGTCCACAAGCCTAACCTCCCCCTTAGATAAATCACTGATGTTCACAATAGAGCCCTGCAGGGAGAGAAGGGAGAGGGGACAGGGGAAATGGACAGAAAGAATGAGGAGGGAGAAGAAAGCAGAGGAAAGAGATTGGAAACGTGGCTGCCCGTCCTCTCCTCTGGACATTTGCTTGTAACAAATCATTCCACAGAGACAGAGAACATTGAGTAGGGAAGTGACAAAGCAGGGTGACAAGAAACCTAGCAGCTGGAGGGACAATGGAGTGATGCTGCTTAGCTGGCCTGCTTCCCATGCCAGCATTGCAGAGCTGCAAGCTTACAGCAGTCACAGGAATGCATTCCAGCTGTGGTGGGCGTGTCTTAGGTGCTCTCAACCTGGAAGTGCTGGGACGCCCTGGCTAGATCGATACATGTGAGCCTGTTTTGTTCTCTCGGGAACTGCAAAATCTCTTCTGGGCTGTGTGTAGGGGCAGGTGGCTCCACCATGTCTAGCAGCTCAGTGTGTGCAAGGCGTGCCCACCGTCATCAGAAGGGAACATCTGCTCAGCAGTTCCCTCCTCCCCTCACCCAACCACACACAACGAAGCACACGCTCCATGCGGCAGCTGGGGTTCAGCTCAAGAAGCTGCTGGTTGAGAGCCAATTTGGTCCCATAACAAATGACGTGGGAAACATCTGGAGATGTGGCGGCAGAGAAGCAGGCAAAGGCCCCTCTTGATGGAAGCACACTGGTCACATTTGGCAGCCATACAAAAGTAGTCACTCCCAAGGTCTTCATTGGAAAAGGCCATTTCTCCACTGGGGCTCTCTGTGCCTCTCACCTGGACTGTTTCAAGTGTCTGCACACTTTTTCCACCCTCTGCCAGCAACCCCTCACCCAGGCACAGAGGTATATAAGGCCTTCAGTGGCTCCCAGCAGCCCTTGGCTATACGCCAAGCAGTCTGTCTGGCTTGAGGATTTGCCACACTTGAAGCCCTATGTGACAGGCCCTCTATCTGTTGCCTGGAAAGAGTACTGCAATCACCCAGAGCAACCTGGGCTAAACATCGCTGGGCTCCAGCCATAGTGAGTATTCACTATGCACCAGAATGCACCAGGTCACTATGCACTGGTCCCAGAATGCACGAGGCTCTCTTGCTTGGCACACCCACCCAGATAACTAAACTAATATCTACCCATTGTTAAGATTCGACTCGAAGAAAATCCACACTGAAAGGTATGGTTCCTCCTGGACCAAGTTAAATGGTTATGTTTGTGCCCCTGCTTCGTGTGACAGGGGACATGTGAGACAGCAAAGTGACTGCTGACTACCTCGCCTGTCTCTGCAATCATCTCTGACCAGTGCCCGGCATGTGGTGCTCTGTTAGCGCAGGGAGGAGAGACAGAGAGAAGATGGAGCAGAAGCGTGGGCCAAGCAGCACATCTCAGACTTTTTGAGCACGCCACGCCAGACCCACCTGCGTCCATGTTGTGGTTCATCTGGTGGTCGCTGGTTTCTCCATCCTCACTCAGGTAGCCAGGGGGCGGGGTCTCTGGGAACCAGAAGGCAGGTGGTCCATTAAAGGGTAAACATGGTTTGGCCCTGGGACACCTTTTACAAATGCATCATGCATTTGAGCCACTTCCCTCGGTAAGAGGTGCTGCTGGCTCTCAGTGAGGGCACCCACCCACCAGATCCCGGACTCGGCCGTGCCCAGGTGCCCAGGCCTGGACACCTCTAGCTCCACCTGGATCGTAATGCATGGCCCCACCTCGCAAATCTGGAATGTCTCTTCCTAGAGCTGCTACCAGACTAACTTGTCCCGTCCTTCAAGGTCAGGAGACCTCCAGGGAGGCCTCTGGACCTGCCTCACCTCTGTCCTCTGAAGGGCTATGGCCTCAAGCCTGCCTCTTGGTCCCCACATCATCTCCCACGCAGATCTGCTGCTGTTGTCACTATCTCTAGGGGATGTGGCTTAGCTCCCAGGAGGGTGCAGTTTAATGACAGCACTCTCAGCCCCGGATCCTGCCTTGGCCCTCTGAAATCTGCTGTCGGAAGAAGTAGATGACTGAGCCCAGACCAGTGCTACCTGCAAGGATCAGGAAAGGCTGGAGAGTGTGTCTCTTCATGTACTCTAAACCCAAGACACAGACATGGGCCACAGCCAGCCTCAGCCCAAGGAGCCAATCCAGAGGGAGTTGTCCAAATTAGAACACTCTAAAAGGAACAGTGCTGGATGACTGCCCCACAGGCAAGAGTTGCCCTGACTGGCCCCAGTGTGGCCAAGCCTAGCTCCCCAGGATGTCCTGGGCATGACGCTGGGTGATTCACATGTAAATCTGCATGTAAATGAGGGGTTTCTTGAAACACTTTCCCTCTTTGGCTGTGGAGCCCATTGCTTCCTGTGGAGTGAAAACTGTCCTCAACTCCTGCCCTCCCAGTCTGAAGCCAGGGTGCTTCCAGGACCCTGAGTTGGCTTACCCACTGCTCTACAGCCCCCAGCCTATGTGGATCCTGCCCGAGTGCCAGCGCCCCTGGCAGCGAGGCCCCGAAGCCGGTGAGAGAAACACAGAGCTGCTATTTCCACTTCCAAAATAAATGAGACTGCGCTGAGGCTGGGCGGAAGGGTCAAGCCGTCCCTCCATGCCAAGAAAAGCATCATTACTGCGCGGGGAGCTCAGGCCATGGGTCCTCTCCCAACAGAGATGCGGTTCTGAGTCAGGGCCTGGGGCCAGGGCAGAGAGGAGGATGGGATGCTGAGTGGACAGACAGGTGGAGAGCTAGTGGAGCTGCCTCTCTCCCAGTGCCTACCTGGAATATTGCTCTGGGGCTCTATGCCAGCAGGGAAGTTCGTGTTCTCGGGGATGGAATGGCTGTAATCGTCCAGTGGGGGGAACTCGGCGGGGATCTCTGTGTGGCGTGGCACCAACACGGGAGGTAGCACTGTCCAGGGAAGACAAAGGGAGGAGCTCAGGGCCCAGGCCAGGCTGGCATCAAAGCCCCTGAGCCCCCAGTGCACCGCAGACCCTCCCAGGGCAGGGAGGGGAGAAGGAGGTAGAAAAGACCATGACTGCCCCAGTCCATGGCAGGTGGCAGGGACTTACCTGGCGTCTCTACTCTCTGATAGTGATAGGGATTCACGCACACCTCGTCCTTCTTCATATTGAAGGCGAACTCACACAGTTCCATGGCTCGCAGCTCGTGGTGGCTGTGTAGGTCTGGCCATCGCCACAGGCGGCAGTAGATGACATGGGGGAGCCCCTTCCGATGGGACACCTGCAGCCGCCCATCCAGGGACCTGATGAGACAGGGAGGGGCAGCAAGAGTCAGCGGCACAGATCTGGCTGTCTTCTCCCCCAAGTCTGCCCATAGCCCCCGGCAAGTTCCCTGGCACACGCTCAGCAAGCTTGTCCCTCCCGCCTCCTCAGGCACAGAGTCCAAGATCAGAGCATCACTAACTGCTCCCGCTGGAAAGAATCCAGAAGCAAACAGGCCACCAAGGAGGGTGAGACCTCCTGCAGCTGGCAAAGGGGGCCTTGCACCCACCAGCTTTCGGCTGAGTTCTCAGAACAGCCCTGTTCCATGGAAGGAAACACACTGCTCCAAAAACATACATCTGTCACTGATATGGGCCTGCTCCAGTGGGGTGACTAGTAGCGGGTGACAGAGTTGGTATAAGAGTAGGCAAGGGTATAGGTACAGCCAGCACCACAGGGTCTTGGAGGCCAGGATAAGGGATTCACCTTTTTCTTAAAAGCAGTAGCCTCTGAGTTGTTTAAGCGAGAGAGAGAGAGAGAGAGAGAGAGAGAGAGAGAGTGTGTGTGTGTGTGTGTGTGTGTGTGTGTGTGTGTGTGTGTGTGCGTGTGCACTCCCCTTTCCACAGAAAGTCCATCCTAGTATTCCATCAGTCTAACAGCTGGTCAGGGCTGGCAGAGAGACATTACAGGCTGTCCTGCTACGTCCCTTCACGACCAAGAACACCCATGAAGGTTCTGGATAAACAGAATTTATGGCCCTCAATGATGGAGGGGCCAGCCAGAGTCAACCAGATTGGTTGGTTGGGGATCCAACCAATCTCCAAGCCACCGGGCTGGCATGGAGAAAGACAGACAAAGGTCAGCACTGGGCCTGGTCACAGGGCTGGCTGGGAGCTGCTGAGTAAGGGCATCTGGAGGATGTAGTTACCTCCCTCCCAGGGGGCCCCAGACCAAGTTGCCCCTACAGCTCCAAACAGTAATTACCAGGCAGAATAAGAGGACAGCCTGGGACTCTCCCCCAAGGCACAGAAGGAAGTTTGCCAAATGTGGAGTCAGAAGACCTGGGACCAATATGTGCTTCCACTGTCCCGGCTCTGCAACCCCAGCAAGGAATGAGGTCTCTAGGACCCTCGGTTGCCTCATCTGTAAAATGGGGGCGTGCTCCGTCCCCAGGCCTCATGGAGCTTGGTGTTATTTTAAAGTGCTTTTCAGGACTAGAGGTGTGGCTCAAGTGGCAGAGAACTGCCTCGCAAGAAGTTCAAATCCCAGTACTGCCAAAAATAAATAAATAAATAAGAAATCAATCGGGCTGTAGGCATGGCTCAAGTAGTAGACTGCCTGCCTAGCAAGTGCAAGACCCTGAGTTCAAATCCCAGTACCGCCAAAAAAAAAGTGCTTTGTAAAGTGCCAGTCAATGGGCATTGTGCGCCTGTCACAGCGGCTGGTTTCCAACCTAGCCCTAACAAAAGGGCTGAGCCATGGGGTTAACAAGAGAAAGGGAGAGCAGGAAGTGGTGAGTGGGGACAGAGAATCGTTGAGCTCTTCTCTTCTTGCAAAGCCACGGAATGCCCGCCTATTAGGGAAGTGGCCACATTTGCTTTCAGGGTTTGACAGAAGCCCCAACAGAGGGCCAGCTAGATGCTGAGGCTCTGCAGCAGTAGGTCCCTGGAGGAAGGCGCCGACTACAGTGAGGGAAGACGGGTGCTGTGAGGGAGGCCCACCGGGGAGGTAGAAGGGGCGGCCCTTGTGTTTAACAATAATGATACAGGAATTATTTCAGCAACAGTGAAATGTCTTAAAAGTGAGGGAGCTACAGTCACTGAGGCAGTGTGATTACAGCATCAAGACTGAACAACAGACCAATGGAACCTAACAGAGGCCACAAAGAGTGGCCTACATGGATGACTGGTCAACAAAGGTCCAGACATTTTAACTGAGAGGTCTTTCAACAAGTGTGCTAAAACAATTAGATACTGAGAAGAAAGAAAAATGAACTTTGTTGGGCACAGAGGCTCAAATGTGTAATCCTGGTATTTAGAAGGCAGAGATAGGGAGGATGGTGGTTCAAGGCCAGCCTGGGCAAAAAGTAACACCACATCCGAACTAATAAGCTTGGTGTGATGGTGTGCTCATGTAATCCTAGCCATGCAGGAGGCATAAATAGAAAGACCACAGTCCAGGTTAGCCCTGAACAAAAATGTGAGGCCCTATTAAAAAAAGCAATGGAAGCCAAAAGGGCTAGGGACTTGGATCAAGTGTAACAAGGCTCTGAGCTCAAACTCCAGTACTGCCAAAAAAGAAAAGTGAACTGTAGCCACACCTTACACCTATACAAAAATCAACTGCAGTGGGCCACAGCAAAGCTTGAGCTTTGCGGAAAATCCTCGTAACCTTGGGACACTCAGAGATCTCTCAGCTACTGTCCCAAAAGCACAATCCACTAAGATAGTGGCTATAGTAGAACCTATCAGAATGTAAGCTTCTGATCTTTGGAAGACACTGAATTGTTAACAGAATAAACAGACAACAATTGGAGAAAACATCCGTAAAGCACCTGTCTGATAAGGACCTGTTCCCAGAATAAAGAACTCCAAAAATTCAGTATTAAGTGAATACTGAATACTGTTTGAGGAACGACTCAAACAGGTGCTACACAGAAAGGTGTAAAAGTGGCAGACACACACCTGAGAAGATGTCTGTATCATTAGTCATTATAGAAGTACAAATTAAAACTACGAGAGCTGGGTGTGGTGGTACACTCCTGTAATCCCAGCTACCTGGGAGGTGGAGGCAGGAGGATTTTGACTATGATGCCAGCAGAGGGGTAGGTGAGGATTGAGACCCTGTCTCAAAAATAAAAAGGCTGGGAGCATGGTTGAAGTGCTAAAGCACTTGCCTAGCATGTGTGAGGTCCTGGGTTCAATTCCCAGTTCTGAAAAAAATAAAAGAAAACCTACAGTGAGGTGCCATGGCACAACAATCAGAACCGGAAACCACCACCCGTGCCACATGTGGGCCACGCTCCCGCTGCTGATGGGGACACTCTGAGAAGCAGTTCAGAGGTTTCCTACAAGTTAAAAACAGCCTCATGTGCTCCACCCATTCCTCTGCTGAGCCTTTACCCAAGAGAACTGACAGCACATGTCCTAAGACTCGTGCGTGAACGGGTAAACACGGTGATACACTGATGACACACTGTGAAGGGGTCTCCCAGCAATCCTGCTGTGTGAAGGCGGGCAGACAGGACATCTGAGTGTAAAGTCAGAGAGTAACTCAGAGTGTGAATGCAGCTGGTCCACAGGACAGAAGGCAGAGCAGGGCTGCCTGGGGAGGTGGGGGTCACCTAGGGGCCCGGGAGGCTTTAGAGGGGTAAAGGTTCTATTTGCTATCTTGCTTGTCCTGCTGGTTTTATAGGTATATACCTGTTGAAACTTATCACACTGTACACTTTAAATATGTACAGTTTGTTTTCAAATTATATCACAGTTTTTAAAAAAGGCAGGGTGGTGGTCATGATCAAAGGCTCTGGGCTTGAATAACCTGGATTTAAATACTGATTCTGAGGCCTGGCATAGTTGCTCATGCCTGTAACCTCAGCTACTCAGAACGTGAATGGTTCATGCCTGTATTCCCAGCTTCTAGGTAGGTGGAGATTGGAATCGACTGTAGTTTAGGGTCAGCCCAGGCAAAAAGCCAGCAAGACCCCACCCTAACAAACAAGTTGGGAATGATGGTACATCTGTGTAATCCCAGCTACATGGGAGGCATGGGTAGGAGGACTGAGGTCCGAGGCTGACCCAGGTGAAAGAAACTGCAACACTCTTTCTAAAAAATAACTAAACCCTAAAGGGCTAGGTACATAACTCAAGTGGTAGAGCACCTGTCTAGTAAGCTTGAGGCCCTGAATTCAAACTCCACGTTGCCAAAAAAAATGTAAGTACTGACTCTGCTCACTATATAAACTTGAGCAACCACTTAATGTAACAGTGTTCATATTTTCCATCTGAAATAGGCCCCTTCATTGCACTGTTGGGTGGGAGGAGCAAGTGACAGTCCATGCAGAAAGGCCTTGGCCACAGTAAGAGCACAGCTTCATTACCATGACAGTGCCTGGCAAAGGCACACAGTAGGTGCTCAGAAACACTAGTCCTTTCTGGGCCTTGGTGAGCTGGCACAGGATTAGGACAGTCACATGGCCTGGTGTCTGCTGGGTGACTTCTGCTTGCGCAAGGCTCTCCGTCCCTCATTTCTCCGCCACCCCGCTGTGTGGTTAAGCAGGCAAATCCTGCAAAGGTTGCACCTCACTGCCCCCCCCGCCCCCCCGTACATGCAAGAGGCAAAGCTCACTTCCTAGGGTCACACAGAAGTCTGTACCAGGGCTGTGGCTACAGGCCAGCTCTTCTGGCTGCCACGCTGGGTGCTGATGGAAACAGGCATGCTCTCGCTCTCCAGCTAGTGGGCATGTGACCCCCAGTCTGACTTTGAGAGGTTTCTAGAAGTTATCTGGTGCATGCCCCCACTTCTTAGCTAAAATCCCCACACCTACCATACCCTAAAATACACACCAGTGTTATCCAGCTAATGGGAGCTGCAGTGATGGATCCGAGACAGCAGATGTGTCCTGTCCAGAGTACACCCTTCCCAAGTCTTCCAGGGCGCTGGGCCCATTAAGTAAATCCAATAATTGAGTCCTAATTCTGAGCTGATGTTACTGTGAACAAGATGAACTTAAGCAAAAGGTCTGTTTCTGACCTGCTGTGTTCCCCAGCCAGCCCCTCCTCCTGGTGGTAAGCATCCCTGGGCTCCCCACCCATGGCAGAGACCTCTTCCCACTCCCAGGGGCTCCCTCATTGAGAACCACCCCCCAAACCTCTTTCTCCAGCAACTCCCTCAAGCTCTTTGACAGAAGGTTTTAATCTTTAAATATATTCTTCACTAGCTAAACAATTTCCTGTAGCAGGAAATTAGGTTTCCTCCCACTGGCTCCAAGTAGGACCTGTAAAGTGTCCCAAAATGGTGGTGGAGCCACAGCCAAGGCCTTGGCCAAGCCAGAATCCAAGGCCATGGTGAGGGTGGAGCCTGCCAGGGCAAGAAGGCTGGCCCACATCAAGCCCACCCTCTTCCTTCCTGCCCTCAGTACCAGTGGTCGGCTGCCCATGGCTATCTGGGGGACATGGGTGGAAGGACAGGAGCAGAGCGCACAAGTTACAGAAACACGTGGAGATGGACTCAGCACGAACCAGATGCTGGGTAGTCTGCTATAACGGAGCAATGCAGAGACAGCGCCCCCAGCAGACCCCATCCTACCTAGCACAGAAGTCAGGCAGAACTCAGGGTCATAGGACTTGTAACAGGCAAAGCCAAACTCAAACCCAGACCAGGGCTAATAAATGGAGTGGAGGCAGGTGTGAGGGGGGATGGGACCCAAACATGCTTTTTCTGTTATACAGGTTGTGTCACTATCAGGAAACCCAGCTTCTCAACACTCACCCAGCAGTCAGTGACCAATGACCACAGCCTAGGCATGGGCCAGCTACCTGGGCCAAACAGGTTAAAAAACATAAAGGTGTCAGCTCTCAGTTATTTCTGGCAAAACCTATTTGAATACACACTCTCTCCAGCCTTCTCCGTGACTTGCTTGCAAGCAATACCTGTTACTACCACTAATCTTGTTAACAGTCCCTCCTCATTGTACACCCCCCTCCACATAGCCAAAAGGCAAAGCTCAAATCCAGGCACCCTGAGGGTCACTCGATGACTGCAGTGTGGTGAGCTGGTCACTGCTCTTGGCACCCACACCCTCTGACCGCCTCCTCCCACAGGTGTAAGTACTTTGTTGGCCCTTGGCTTGGTGTTGGGCTACCAACTTGCCCTGGCCAATGGAATATAAGCAAAGGCACAGAGTGCCACTGTGTGCTTCCTCCTGTCCTCCTGTGCCTCTGCCTACACCATGGGATGCATGGCAGCTGTGGCACCAGGGCCCAGGGAAGAACACACAAGAACAAATGGAGAAGAATGAGTACAAGTAATCACTGTTTTAAGCTGCTGGGTTTGGGTGTGGCTGTTACACAACACTAGCTGACTAATATACAGGCTCCCCCACTAGTTTTCCCATTAAGCATGCAAGTATCATTTTCTTTGTATACTGGCTGAAAAATAGAGCACCCAAGAGATTAACCAACTTTCCTAGGGCCCCTGGAGTTCACAGAAACCAAAGTCACCCTGTGTGACTCAGTCTTATCCCTGCCTCTCATGGGCCCACCCCGAGCCCTAACCTGGGTCATACTACCAGTTACAGGAGTTGGCTGATTCACAGCTTTTGTTTATGGAGAACAATCTACCCCTAGGTTTTCAGAGCCATTTGCATAAAATGTGAACTTACTCTAAATTCTCCTCTAATGGTAATTTTTAAGTGGTCCAGGTAGTACACTAATAACTCCATAAGCAAACCTGGCTCCCATTTCATCTTGGTTTCTTCTGCAGCTTTACATGTACACGCCAGCATCTGCCATGTTTTAGTGCAAGAAGGAAAGGTTATTTCCCAGTGAGCGCCACCAGCACACACTCACCCTCGCATTTCCCAGGTCACGCCTGCAGCAGCTGGGACCTTACCTTCAAGAACGTGTAGCACAGTCACCCCCCCACACCACCACCAACCTCCTCTGGGGAGGAGGCTGCCTCCTGGCCCTGGGCTCAGCATTCCAGTAATCTTGAGTTTTGCATTACATGTGGGCTTTTTCTTTTTTCTTTTTGCTCCGAAGTAAAAGCAAGGCTTGACCAACTTCACATTTGGGTTAGGTGCACGTGCCATCAGAGCTTCTCAGAAGGCAGAAAGAAGTTCTGTGGGGACTCGAGGGGTCTCTTGCATTGGTTTCATATGGCCTTTGAGCCACAGGTGGTCTGTCCTGAGATCTCTCCTGTGACTCATTAATGTGCCACCACAAGAAGAGAACCTGGCTGTCTCTTGTATGCAATGGCTAGCCTCAGTGATGTGACTGAGTAGGGTAGCAAGTTCAAAATCCCTGAAAACGCTGCCTGCCGGGAGGGACTTTTGATTTGGGGACAGAGTGCCATTCCTGAGGGGAATGGACGGGATCAGTGTCCAATCCCTTTGGGAAACAGTAAAACCAAAGCATCCTTTGATCTGGGCTGTGAGTTATGGGCTGAGTCCCCAGCTGCAGGTGAGAACCAGAGACCCAAAGTTCAGGGTCCTTGTTCTGGTGAGGTGACACTTAGGCAAACTCTCTGCCACCTAAAACCCACCATGGAAAAACCCATCATGGGGAAGCTTGGACAGCACCTAGACCCATGCCTTGTTGGCACTTAAGGAAACAGTTGTACTGGACTGCCTGCTCAAGGTCAGCCAGCAGAATCACCTGGCCTGCACTGCAGCCCTGACTGCTATGGTGTCGGTCAAATGTCCACATCCTGCCCTGCTAAGTAGAACAATGAAACAGACTTTCCCTTTGTCCTACTGGATCTTAAGTTGCCTTTATGTTGTTTTTCTTTTAAAGTGACAGAGCAATTGGTGTTCTGGGTCAAGAATATATAATGCAACTCCTTGTTTGATAATGAATGAAGTTTGAAGTTACATTGAAATAAAAAGTTACAAACAAAAAGAAATCAGGGGGCTGGAGCTACAGCTCAATGGAATAACACTTCCATAGCAAGGCCCCAGTGAGTACCACACACACACACACCCCCCCCAACACATACACCCCAACACACAAACACATACACACACGAAAAAGAAAGGAGAAAGGAGAATTAGCAGACACTTTCAAAGCTTTTGATTCTTATGGTTTATTTAAACTCCATTGCCAACATCAGCCTGTTATCATTTGGTGTCACACAGGAAAGTCTCAGAAGGTAGACGACTCAGGTCTTGCTGAAGGCTCTGCCCCAGTCACCACACCTTGAGCATGTTTGGAACATAAGCTTGCCGAGCACATTTTACTCCTGCAGTTCAGACTGGTCCTGGGGGAGCTGGGGACAGGATTTCACAGCCCTTGATGCCACTTGCTGGAGGCCACCCAGACCCACCTGAACTTGCAAGTGGTCCCTATTTGGTGCTTCAATCCACTTTAGTGCTGCCAGCTTGAGGGGAAAACAAAATGCCAGACTGAACTGCCTGTGCTGTCCTCAGGGCTGGCACTGGCCTTTCCCCTTGTCTTCCCTCAGAGCAGTAGGCCCAGGCAGTGCTCCACATAGCAGGTTCACAAGCCTCCGTGGGAGATCTTGGGAACTGGGCTTTGCCCTCTTGGGAGGACTGGATTCTCAGGCCCCAAGGGGTGTCCCATCTCCCAGGCCGGCTCAGGCCCAGAGTGTGTAGTTTCTGGTCACTAGAGACAGTTCGGTTTGATACTCATCATCTAGAAAACACATGGACCCAGGGACTTTTCCACACTGGCTTCAGACTTTCTATACATCAGCCCTAAGGATGACTGGAGGGTCCTTCCTTTCTGGAAGAATGGGCTGCCCTGTCCCCTGCATGATGTTCAGCAGTGTCCTGTCTCTTCCCATAGATGCCAGCAGCAGGCCATCCCTAGTGTTACAACTGAAAACATCTCTAGACATTGCCAAAATGTCCCCTGCTTCCCTCAAGGACCCCTGCTTAAGGAAATGGCCCCAGTGGGTACAAGTTCAAGGACACAGAGCAGTTGACACCTCTGAGCAGGTGTTGGCCCAGCACTCCTCACACACCATTTCACTGGACACAGGATTCTTGTTGGGAGGGCGGACATCATCGCTCTCACTTTCAGATGAAAAATTCATATGATGTTAAATGACTTGCCCCAAATCACCTCAAACAGCAAGAAGTGCCTGGCCTTGAACCTGGCTGTTATACTCCAAAGTCTATTCTCTGTGAGTGCAACAGAGTGTGTTTGAATCAGCAGAGGGTCTTCTCTGGATCTGAGGCAATCGTCCCTGTCCCTTCCCCATGGGAAGGAAGCAGGAGTGAAATCTGGGAGGTCACACTTCACCTCAGACCTGTCACCTCACAGCTCTGCTTTCACAACTTCTTGCTTGCTTTCTTCACCAGTACCAGTTTGACAGTGTCAGCAGAATCACAGAACTTTCAAGTCACAGAGGATGCTACAGAGATCTGGACTGTTCTCCGCTCACTGAAGAAAGGGGACGTTGCCACACACACAGCCTGATGGCCTTCCTCGTGCTGGAATGCTCTTGCGTTCCCTCAGAGGGGATCTGAGCCTGAAGACGGTTAATTTGCCTTTTAAGGGATCACTCAAGGAACATTCAGGACACTCACAGTCCTTGGCAACCTTCTGATAAGTACAAAAGCACACTTCGCCCAGCCCTAAAGTGACCTCACATAATACAGGAGGCAGAAATGGAGTCATCAAGCCAGCAGGCTCAGATACCTCTTCTCATCCTATGTGACTCAGGCCACTTTGGCAGCAGAGTTGTTCACAGGCCAACACTGTTTCTAAACTGCTTTTGGGAAATGCATTGGTTTGTATTGTCAACTTAGACCAAAATACAATGCCAGGCTAAAGCCCACAGATGAAAAAATTCCTTCTCCCTGTGACCACACGGTGCTCCTTTTGGGGAGACCAAAGTGAGTATCTGTGGAAAGACATTTATCAGAATCAAAAGTATAACTAAGGGAAAGGGGGAAAGACAAGCAAGGAGGAAGAGCGAGCCCGTGGAGACTATTTCCTATCTCGCCGTGGACCCTCTTCTCTGAAGAGGGGACAGCAGGTTGGAGGTGGCACTTCCACTAGTAAATGTCTCAAGACTGGGAAGTACTTTTGCCTCTTACAAACAAGGGCAGGACTCCAAAAGTCACCTCCTGACAAAAGCAATTTCTCAAGTCTTATCTGCCAGTGGACTTCAATATTAGTTCACTTCACAAAACAAACAACTCCTATTACAGGACTCTTAGTCACTCTGTTTTCCACTTTCCTCCACGAAGCCGGAGCCATTCAGGGCTGAGTCTCCTCTCTGCCTTTTCCCAGCCGGCTCCAGCCTCCCACCTCCTGCCCTCAGGTTCGCATGAATCGCACCGTGAATCACTTCCCGTGGGCAGGCTGCACGCTTGGGGGTGGGATTTTCTTTTCTTTCTTTTTTTTTCCTGGAGAAGATTCTCACAGACTTTAGGGTAGGCCAAGTGGAACCCGGTGATGACGATGATAACTGGCTGCCTTGTTGTAGCAAAACGAATCTTAAAGTTTCCAAAGACTTAAGAGAAAATGTCAGGCAGGCATTCGTGACTAGGGGTGTTGGCGGGGAAGGTGAAGAGGGCAAATGGGGAGGTTTTGTGTTAATTGCACAGTTTTGACTTCCTTAATTATGACTCATTGGCCAGAGAGATAACACAAATCCTGAGTGCTACAGAACAAGCAAGTGACGGGGCAGCTTAGTGACATTCAAACTCAGAGGAGGTGTTCTCACAAAGTCCACACAATACAGCTGGGAAGGGGACTTCCCACACCTCAGTCCTACCATTTCCAGCTATTTCCTTTTCTTCTTATTTTTCTTTATTTTAGGCAGGGCTAAGGATTGAACCCAGGGCTTTGCTCCTTCTAGACAAGTGTCCTACAACTAAGCTACAATCCCAGCCCTTGTTCCCTATTTTTAAAAGAGGCCCAAAGCCTTTAGGCTTCTCAAACCTTCCAGGTCATCAGCCACAGGGGGCTGAAAGCAGGGCAGCTAGAATTAAGGGAGGGGAGAGAAATGACCAGTTCTTAGACATAATGTAAATTGCATGAAGTCATATGACTGCCTTTGTCCACAGGTGACACAGCACCCACTGCTAGAGTTCTCACACATCCAGCTTCCTTCTGGACCAAAGCTTCACAGGCTTACAGAAATAGCTTCATCCAAAATGGTGACAAAAAATGGGCATCCTGTATGTTCTGCACCAGGGTCCAGCTAGGCAGCACTCCTTTCTGTCTGGGGGTACAGGCTTCCCATTGTACCTCAACAAAAGGTTGTGCTTTACTGGGGGGCAATTGTACCTCAGATAGCAAAATACCCCTCTGGGCAGGAAGACAGGAGAGTTCCAAACAAACAAGGATTGGGGACTTCAGATAGGCCAGGAGGATATTACAAAGGCAGGGTGACAATGGCCCTCCTGCTTAAGCTGGCCTCATTAGCTCAATGACTCTTGGCCAAAAGTCATCCCTAAAGCAGCTACAATCACCACACAGAAAGGCTCTCAGCACAGCTCCCTTCCCTGGCTCCTGGGCCCTGATAGCCCTCTACCTACCTGTCCACCCAGGCCCCACTGAGAGCTGGTGTCCCATCCTGTGACTCTCCTTCCCAGTGGCCTCCCTCCAGAGTCTTATAGTCCTGACTGTCCCCATCTTTTAGTGCTGAACACACTTCTTTGTGTTTTGGGCTTCCCTGTCCAATGAGACCAGGGACTCCTTGCAGGTGAGGGGACTTTGCTGAACTTGATCTGTGCCCTTGGTGGAACATGGGGCTGGCAGGTCACATTTATTCAGTAGTAGGTGATGGCCATGGAATCACCACTGCACATCAACAACCCACTAAACTCTACCATGTTTAGAAGATGTACGACATCCCAAGAACCTCAGGCCATCCTTCAGCATTATGAAGCCAACAAAGTTCAGCCTGAATGGGGGGAGGGGGACAAGGAGAATGATCATGGGGGGTAAATTCGACTAAGATATATGGTAAACACTTCTGTAAATGTCACAACATACCCCCAGTACAGCAATAACATGGTAATTTTTTTAAATGGAGGACAGGTAAAACAGGTCCCGTCTGGAGGCTGATACCAGTGGGAGGGGGGAGGGTATAAGGAAAGGGTGAATGAGGGTGAATACGGTGTTAATATTATATCATCATGTATGAAAATGGAACAATGAGACCTGTTGAAACTATTCTAAGAAGTGGGGAAGGAGGATAAATGGAATGAAGAGGGGGTGAATCTAAAATACATTGTAAGCACTTCTGTAAACGTCACAATGTACCCCCCTGTACAACAGTAGCATGCTGATAGATAGATAGATACACAGACAGATAGAGAAATTTCAGTCTGGCTGGGGTAGAAGTAATCCCAGCTACTCAAGAGGTAGCGATATTGAAGGATTAAGATCCATGGCCAGCCAGGGCAAAGTTAGCAGGAGACCCTATCTGAAAAACAAACTAAAAGCAAGAAAAGGATTGGGGGTGTGGCTCAAATACTATAGCACCTGCTTAGCAAGCATGAGGCCTTGAAGTCAATCCCCAGTACTGGAAAAAAAAAAAAAAAAGTCCAGCCAGCTGGCCTTGAGGGGCACCATGGGAACAGCAGGGAAAGGACCACCACGGGTATCTATCAGGTGGGCTAAAGAAGCTGGTAGGGAAGTGCAGGAAGCTAAACTGACATCACTAGCCATGTCAAGGAGACTATGTCATTTGTGGCTAAGGTGTAGACAGACATTAGACAAAAACCTGCTCAAAAAATATTTGGCACCTGGAGGTTTTACTGGCACTAGACGAAGCAGCCCTCTGAGGGTACATCTTGGAGCAGACAAGAACATGGGATGCTGATCAGGAGGGGTATCTGGATCCTTAACCTGGCTGAGATGCCCACTAACAAGTGCACCTCTGTCTGTGTGTCGAGTCTAAAAATGTTGTGCTCACCTGATCTCCAGGGTCTCCACACCACTAGCACCTGCTAGCTCCCAGGTACCAGGGAAAGACAGTGCTTTAGGTATGAAGGAGTCTAAATGTGTCCTTGACCACGCTCCTCCACCACCTGTCACAAAGAACACACACCTGAATCACCCCTAGCTGCAGAGCTGCAGGACACTCCTAAAACAAGACCTCTCTCCTATACATGGAGCCACAGACAGAAGGGTGAGAGGAAGCTTTAGAACTCTGACCCTGCCTGCCTGTTACCAGCAAAAGCCAGGAAACTCAAATGTGATAGCACTTCAGCAAACCCTGGCAGTTAGCTGTCAGGGAATTAAGCTGATACAAACAACTTCCTGCAGAGGACACTGCTTCAC